GAGCATCCATGAGCAAGTGATGCAATGCTACATTTCTCCAAATCTGATGAAGAAACAAACTCATCCTAATCTTGGATGGCCTGACGGTACATTTTAACTTAACTTAATTTAAAGTTAATGAAAATGAGAAATGTATTTTATTTAACACATTTCCCCCCCCCCATTTTCAGTTTAAATAACAATAAAATCCCTGTTATGGAGAAACTGTCTTACACACAAGCATGAAGAGCATCAGTCTGAACTGAAGTTGTTTAATGTCATTCATCGGGCTGAGGGCTGCTGGGAAGCAGGTGTGCGGTCGTGCGGTGTCTGTGGCAGCAGCAGTATGACGCCGTGTTGGGTGGAGAAGCGCAGGATGGCATCTTTAACTAGTCAAACACATCAGTAAAGGGGTTAAACCGCTCAAACACTGATAACGACTGCTCGTGGTTTAATACATGATGTCTGATCTCACTGCCCACCTTCACTGGATCTGACCGTCTTTATCTTCCGCAGGAGGTTAAAAGGATGCTGTTCCTGCAGACGAGAGGACGCTTTCTGATTCCTCAGTGCTTCAGCGGGGTACAGATGCTTCATCACCTTCAGACAACAAAACCTGTCAAAGGGAACATGCAGTTATTATGCCTAAACCTGTATATCTGCTATAGAACAAAAAACTTTTTTACACAATCAGTGTTGTTTTATTCCCAATTTGAATGTAAATCAGTCAGTCTGTGTGTGAAATCACAAGATCTCATCACTTTTTCCAGCAGAAGATGAGAACTGGAAACACATCCATCATAGCTGGATAGAAGAGAGTTCGGTCCACCTTCCCAGAAGCAAAGCGCTGCAGTATGCCGTCTTTCTGAGCCTCACTGGTGTTGATCTGAGTACAGTACATACACACACACACACACAATAGATGCTAATGAATGCTGTTAGAGTGATTCAGATTAAAGATATTGATTGATCCATGTTTTAAAAGTTTTACAACTTTTTACAAATGCATTTCTTAAATCAAAAGGTGAAATGACCTGAGATTAAATGCTGATTTAACATTAACAAATTAGATCTTATTGTGAAGTATTGCCAAGAAATAAATAGTACTTTTGACATATTTGATTAAAATATTCCAATCATATCATAATATTTAAAAAAAAAAAAAAAAGACATAATATTTGCTGCATCTGCACTGGCGATGTCAGTATAAAATCCAATCTTACTGTCATATCAGCCAGAAAAACATATCAAAACAAAAATTACTTTATAACAAAGGCTTTTCAAACTGGGGTCCAGAGGAAAAATCCTAATGAGAAATATATATAAAAAAACATTAAACTAACTAAATATACAATTAGATTAAAAATAAATAAATACAAATACAACTAATAATACAGTATTATAGCGAGTAGGAAAAAATGCAATTATGTAACTAAATATTTCCCAAATAATATTTTAGACATATTTATAATCATTTTTAAAAATGTATTTGTTCATTATTATTATAAAAGATTGAAAACACTTGCCTTTAACAACATTTATAATCAGTTATTGTTTCTACTCTTTCCTGCTTATTAAGGCAATTCAATCAATTCAAGTACATAAAACAAAACAAATATTGAAATAATTTTCTTTGATTCAGGTGTTTCTGGGTATTGCGTGTTCCCTTTTTTTCTTTTGATATACAATTAGTTAGTAAGTACTATCTAGCAGCTCATTTGTGCTGGTTCATATAGGACAGACATTATTCTAGATAAATGTGTACCATGAGCTTTGAAGAGAGATTTGAGTGGAGAAATATGTTGATGATCAGCTCAGCTTTCTGGTGAAGCATGGCATAATCATTCTCACTATACATGCCTTCTGATGCCATTATATCACCGGCGTCTGCCAAATGCCTGAACCTAGAAACACAGAACAGATCAATGCACTCTCTCGATCACAGACGCTGCTTTTAGAGACACTAAACACAAAGAGAAGAAGGGCTTTGTCCTGCTGTTGAATGGCGAGTATAGGACAGTCCCTGACCTCTCACACTCCATGTAGAAGGAAAGGTCATTGACTAAGAAGTCTGCTATAACCGTTTTGTTGATAATGCTTCGCATCTTGGGTTTAAACTTCTCTCCGTCACTGCTGATATCGGAGGACTGCTGGGCTTTGGAGCGAACAGCGCAAGCTGGAGAAAACAACAACAGGCTTTCTGCAGGTTTGATGAAGGTAAAGTAAAGAAAATTTAAGGAATAAATTGAATGGAACACAATACGTCAATATGGTCTCCAAGTATCTCCAATACTTCATTAATTCTCTTTCAAAAAAAATAAATAAATAAAAATAAAAAATAAAATAATAATCTCACTGTCCCATTTGATCACACTGCAAAAAAAGTTCTTCTTTTGTATTTGTCTTGTTTCCTAGTCAAAATGTCTAAAGATTCTTAAATCAAGATCCATTTACTTGAGAAGCAAAATCACAAAGATAAGAAGTTTTGTTTTATGAGAAATTGATCAAACAAAAAGTTTATGGTTATAAAACAAAAACAAATATCTGCCAATGAGCTCCGAAAAATCTACTTAATTCCCCACGGACAGATATTTGTTCTTGTTTAAGCAGAAACTCACTTAATTACAAGACTTCATATCTTCAGTTTGCATCTCCAATAAATGTATGCTGAGTTAAGGATGTTTAGATATTTGCATTGGAAAACACGCCAAAAATGACTGAGCAAGATATTCATTTTTTTGCAATGTATGAAACATTTAATGCCATGAATTTAAGACTCTCTGCTCTGATTTTCTTCATGTGTAAAAACGTGAATGAATACTTTTTAAGACCAGAGTATCTCCAATACTTCATTAATTCTCTTTCAAAAAAAAAAAAATAGTAAAAAAAAAAATAATAATAATAATCTCACTGTCCCATTTGATCACACTGCAAAAAAGTTCTTCTTTTGTATTTGTCTTGTTTCCTAGTCAAAATGTCTAAAGATTCTTAAATCAAGATCCATTTACTTGAGAAGCAAAATCACAAAGATAAGAAGTTTTGTTTTATGAGAAATTGATCAAACAAAAAGTTTATGGTTATAAAACAAAAACAAATATCTGCCAATGAGCTCCGAAAAATCTACTTAATTCCCCACGGACAGATATTTGTTCTTGTTTAAGCAGAAACTCACTTAATTACAAGACTTCATATCTTCAGTTTGCATCTCCAATAAATGTATGCTGAGTTAAGGATGTTTAGATATTTGCATTGGAAAACACGCCAAAAATGACTGAGCAAGATATTCATTTTTTTGCAATGCATGAAACATTTAATGCCATGAATTTAAGACTCTCTGCTCTGATTTTCTTCATGTGTAAAAACGTGAATGAATACTTTTTAAGACCAGCAGAAACCCTGAAATGGGTTTTGGTTGACCTGCTGACCTCTGCAGTGAACAGATGAACCGCAGAGGGACTTACGCTGTGAGAAGTGCTTGTAATCGTGTATCAGATAGTCTTCAAACTCAGTCCTGAAGTCACGGTCCTCTAGGGCAGACAGAAACTTCGTCACACTGCGGATGAAGCTGCTGAAAGCCGTCCACGCGTTCGTTTTCTGAAGAAGTCCACAAAAGAAATGAGCTCAACGCTTGCTGAAAATCATCTGAAAAGTGCAGGTTTTTGAATTTATTGAAATGTTTTACCAGTTTGTACAGCAGCAGCGGACCTCTCAGATTCGATTCAGATGAAACGGGGGAACAAGAATAAAATGTTTCCTGATACTGTTTGAACCTGTTTGAGATCAAAAGGAACTTTTTGTGCTGTATGTGACCACTGTAAAACACTGAAAACACTTTCATATCACCTAGACAGCACAAAGGGCAAATTTATTTGTACAGCGCTTCTCAAAACACACAGGTTTTTTTTAAAGCAGCTTTACAGATAATCATGATGTTGTGGTTATAATATCTTAATGTCTTCATGACTTATAGTCACATTTAACAGATCAGAGCTGGGCGATAATACAGCTTACATTTAGCAATGCTTCAAGCAATCAAGTGTCTCCTCTGGAGTTTCAAACAAGACCACAGATTTCAGTGTGAATTCAAACCAGTGTTATTTATATTGATATACTTATACAGCATTTTTTATAATATTCAGAAATAGAATACTTTCAATAAGCTTTTATTTTTACATTACATTTTTTAAAAAAGTTTTTGTCATTATGTAATGTGCTTTTTGTCATTTTAAAATATAGCTTTAATTATTTTTTTATTTTATGTTTCGTTTTATTAATTTTAAGTACTTCAATTTTTTTATTTTTTAGTTAGTTGCAAAGGCAATATTTCAATTTTTTAAGTTTAAGTAAAAGTTTTATATAAATTAAGTTTCAGTTTTTCACTAATATTTAGATTTGATTTGATATCAGCTTCATTTCAATTACCAAAAGCAATTTTTAAGAAGTTTAGTTTTATAACACCGATTCAAAAATCCCTCATCAAATTATTTGAGCTGCTATCCACATTCCTTTTGTGTTATTTATATTGATATACTTATACAGCATGCATATTTTTTTATAATATTCAGAAATAGAATACTTTCAATAAGCTTTTATTTTTACATTACATTTTTTTAAAAAGTTTTTGTCATTATGTAATGTGCTTTTTGTCATTTTAAAATATAGCTTTAATTATTTTTTTATTTTATGTTTCGTTTTATTAATTTTAAGTACTTCAATTTTTTTATTTTTTAGTTAGTTGCAAAGGCAATATTTCAATTTTTTAAGTTTAAGTAAAAGTTTTATATAAATTAAGTTTCAGTTTTTCACTAATATTTAGATTTGATTTGATATCAGCTTCATTTCAATTACCAAAAGCAATTTTTAAGAAGTTTAGTTTTATAACACCGATTCAAAAATCCCTCATCAAATTATTTGAGCTGCTATCCACATTCCTTTTATTGCTCTATACTTGTATTTCCTCTAATATATCTGAGACAATATCTGAGACAAAGGTGATTGTTAAAATAAATCATAACTGAGAATTCTACGATCCCAGAAAAAAGTGCAAAGCTGTGACAGGGCCGGTGCCCTTTCAAAAGGTACTAATATGTACACTTTAGATACTAATATGTACATTTACAAAGATGTACCTTTTAGCTTTTGTACCTTAGGGTACTGACACAGTGACAGATTTGTACCATTTTTTCTTCTGAAATAGCAACTTCTGAGCAATAACATTTTCCCATAAATTTATATAACAATACCATGTGGCCTCCAGTGACTTGGCAACCAGATGCTGAATGGTGAAGATGACCTCTGGAGGAACCGTGTCCATCTGCGGCACACTGCTGATTATGTCAGCGCTGCACTGCAGGTACTCCACTGCAGGGGGAGACAGCGAACCATAGTGTTACTTCTTTTGTTTTTTTGGAGCATGCAAAACCATTGCTAATGTTTAAAGAACAGCATCATTTTACAACCCTCATGTCATTTCAAGCCTGTGTTATTTTCTTGCTTTTCTCCATGCAATGCACTTTGTCAGTACTGTCAGTTTGAATCTATGCTTACATACTGTAGGCCAAACATCTTCCCAGTAAGACGATGTGAGGGGGAGTAAATGATGACAGGTGGTGCTATTCCTTTGACACTGAATTGAAATAGCACCACAATATCAATTAATGAAAGCAGTACCGGAATCTTGTCGCCGAAAGAATTTGTCTACAATGGCGCGGATTTTGGCCTTCTGTCGTTTGGGTTCGACGGTGCGCAGAGATTCTGCTTCCTGTATGAAGAGCAGCGCTCCGTCCGCATTGTGCTCCTGCAGGAACTGTCTGAAATGACCAATGTGCTGAGATGATGTGAGGACCTCTTCAAATGACCTGGAATTCAGCAGAAAAACAAAAACAAAAAAAACAGACAACTTGGTCTCAGTTTCAGAAATAATTTACTTTGAGATGACTAGTATGCTTTTAGAAATGTGCTTCACACAAATATAGCTTAAACACATATTTCCAAACCAGATCCTCTGCTAAATTTAAAGGAATAGTTCACCCCAAAATGAAAATGTACACACTCTCATGCCATCCAAGATTAGGATGAGTTTGTTTCTTCATCAGATTTGGAGAAATGTAGCATTGCATCACTGTCTCAGCAATGGATGCTCTGCAGTGAATGGGTGCCGTCAGAATGAGAGTCCAAACAGCTGATAAAAACATCACAATAATCCACAAGTAATCCACACCAGCCCATCAGTTAGCATGTTGAGAAGTGAAAAGTTGTGTGTTTGTAAAAATACTCATCATTAATTAAGACTTGCTTCTGACTAAACAATAGTGCTTTCTCCGGTGAAAAAGTCATCTGGTCTGAATCAGGAGAGAACTCTGCTCAGATCAAGCACTGTTTACAAGACAAAACCGTTCGAAACAAATATGTGGTCGGATTTTAATGTGAGAGACAGGAGGTGGACTTTGTCACTGGAGAAAGCATTATTATGGATTATGGTCTCATACTTAAGCCAGAAGTGATGGTTTGAAGGTAAAATCATCTTAATGATG